CACACTAAAATGCACAAGTACGTATGCCCAAGGCCACAACACACTCAAGAAACACATAAATCACACATTATAAACAATAAGCTGTAAACTAGTGATGCAGGACAAGAATCAGAAAGCCGGAAATATGAAATAAATCTAGCACAGAAAAATAAAGTCATACAATGTCATGCTGATACTGATGAGTATTCTAAATCAAATGTTATCAAAATCCTATACTGATATGAGTATTCTAATCCCCTTAGGACATTACAGTGGGATAAAATCCCTTTGCTTAAACGCCTATATCATATATTCAGCAAACAAAAACTCCCCCAGTATTTAGTAATGTATCACTACAGTAATTGCAGCCGGAAATCATGCGCAAAAAAGTTATTCTATTTATTCTGCATTACTTAGGTCTTGAGGCTACATTTCTAATTCTCACAAAAAACTCAACCCATAGCAGTACATCTGAGAATAAGAGACAGAAATAAGAGGAACTAAATCCTGTCTCGATGACCATTTTCAAAACAACTTTATGATACATGGACTGTTTGCCCTTCTGGCACTGTGCTTACTTCTCCACTTATATTTTAGATCGCTTTTCAGAAATATAGCACCAGAAGCAAGATCCAATCATGTTTGAACAATGGTAAAAGCTTAACTGTTAATAACCAGTTTGATTTGTAAAAATAACAAAAAGCTTGACCTGAAATTGGCATGCATTCTATGTAGAAAGTTGTGAGGAGAAAGCAAGTAAAACACTACTTTTGTCCTATACAAATAAGGCATTTCTCAACTTTAAGTCACAGAATTTCCCTCTTAACTTGGTCTTTCACAGATAGGGTATTTCTCAACTCGGTCTCTCATAAAATTCGTTGTTCATTGCTCTATCGTATTTATAAAGTTGGAGAAGTGAGATTTTAAAACTTTAATAAAGAGAAGATGTAAGATAAAAAAGTAATAAAAATTAATTAATAGTTTTTAACCCCACTTCAATTTTTTAAATCGAGCCCATTAAAATTTTCCCTCACCTCCATTTCCCTGATACTAAACATAGGGTAGAAAGAGTTCACTTAAATAATGTCTACAAGGTCTAATAATTCCCACATAATTGAATTGCAGTTAATATTTATCCCTCTTTATCCTACATATGTGACAAAAAGAATCAATAACATCAGTGATGGATAACTGTAAGAACTCATATTCCAACTTCATTTGGCAAAAAAAATTCTTTACCCATCTGCTCTAAACAACATTGATGTATTTAAAAACCCCATACCTCATCCTTTTAACAGTTAATAAAGGCCATCCATTTTGTTCAGTCATCAAAAAGATGACAGATAGCAAAATATCCCTTAATACAACGGCCAAGGGATAAAAATTTTGAAATAAACTAAGTCATGGACTTCAACCTGAATTTTGGTTATTGTCTTACCTTCACGTGTCTTAGCTCCCTATCAAGATCCTCAAGCTTTTCTTCAGCCTCCCTTTTACTTCTCTTTAAGTGCTTAGCTGCTTCTTGTTCATGGGAAGCATCAGCTTCAAGAACATTAATTTGATTATCGAAAGAACTACATAGTCGGCTAGTTCTCTGCCTCTTATTTGGGGGAAGAACTGTCTGCACTGAGCCCCGAGAAAACCTAGCAAGAAATTCATCAACAATTAATTCCAATTTATTGGTTTGATAGAAGATAAGTGCACATATTATGAATATTTAAAGTTGAAGTAGCGTTACTTATGCCAAAACATGTTCCTGGTACCCAAAAAATGTGATAAAGGCACTAATACCATATCATGCAACACCGCACCCCAAAGTCATAAACTACTAAGTGAAGACTCGGGTAGCTTTATTATCAACTCCGACAAGCACACAACATTAGCGGGAGAAGGTGACATCAGAATCACTTCCATTGGCAGATTATTAGAAATCAAGAAGGCATTTTTACATCTTTAAGTTCTACCAACCATATATATTTGTGGAAAACGCTGAAACTATCTCCTAAGAATCAGGATTAGAAAATCGTTTTTATTATCCATTATTGCCTGATTCTTTTACCATTGGAAATGGGATTATAGGCTTCAATGTTTTTCCTTTTGTATCGCTGAAATAATTGTATAAAGCCCGGTAAAATAATCAGATTCAATACAAGATATACGAATTCATTCAATCCGTCTCCCTACTCATAATATTGTAAATTTATATTTCACCCAATCTCCCATGCAATTCTTTACATATTCCTATTTCAGGTCAATCTGAATCACTAAGGCACACATTGACACAAGCATCTGCGAGTGGGGTGAAAACAAGATAACAATTTGCATTAGCTTACATTTTATATCCATCTGAGGTGAAGACCTCCTTCAGATTCGAAATCCTTTGGTCAAATGCAACCATTTTACCAGTATCATAATCCCGAACAAGAATTTGACGCTCAATGCTCCCCTAGAGATTCAATAAACATGTTAGTAATAGCAAAACAGGCCATTCTGCAAAAATATTTTCCAATCTTTTCCAAAAAAAAAAAAATTGGAAGGTCCCCAAAAAAAAAATCGAATACATTTCTTGGAAGATTCTCTCTTACAATTTGCTTCCAAATTTTTTTTCAGAAAATTAGATTTTTTCCATGCATACCTAATACTTTAGCTAGAAAAGGACATGAGTTTGCTGATGGTTTTTGCATCTGTGATGATAACCCACCTTTTTGTATAAAGATGGGAAATGATGAAAGATCATGCTCTACTCTTGTATTTGTTTGTGGTATTTTCCATCTAGTTTAATACAAGTATTCAGTTTTTATTTTAAAAAAAAAAATTATTCAAGCAGTTTGGCTAAAAGACAAGAGAGGGGAGGGATGATAAGAGATAAACGCGACAGATTTTGGGGCGATCACAAACAATCATTTAATGAATAGATAAGAGTTCTATAAAATTAGATAATACTTAATTTATTTGCCAAAAAGACAGAGAATGACTACAAAATAATGGAAATGGAGCTGATTGAGTGAAAATCAATAGCAAGTAATATGATAAAATTCAAAAACATAAATAAAAATAATTTAAGTACTACCAGATCCACTAAGACATTAATCACAGTGTCATTCGCCGAATATAAAACAGATAGAATCGAAGGATGCGTTGTCTGGGGAAGCATGTGTTGTGGTAAAGACAATCTACAGCAGAGAGTAGAATAAAATAATTAAGGAAAATTCTATCAAAAAAATCATAGCAATTAACAAAACCAGACGCAACACAAAAAACTGGGAGGATAAACCATAGATAGGAAGGAGGCAACAGAGAGGAAGAGAGGTTGACAAGTTACCGTGGTCTTGAAAAATCATAAATAAAAATTTGGAGGTGACCATAGTTTGCTTCCTTTGCACATTCTCTCAAAAGAAGAGAATCCTTGTGATCAGTCACTACAAAAGCATTCAGCATCTTCCCAATTGCATGCTCAATAGCAACACCCCACTTATCACCATTAACCAGATTCTGTAAACCACATTATTAAATTAATACAGACAACAACCCAACATGATAAACATGAGAAATTGTAGAGATCAAATCCGAACATCGATAACTTCATTTATTACTTGCATAAGTACGACTAAGAAAAAAATCATAGCTATATCAATAAAGTACTTTTTGTGCTTATTAAATAAGAAAACAATTATACCTTCATTTAAATTCAACCAATCAAACATATGCACAAGTGAAAAGAACATGATACACTATAAATATCATAGCATGTACCAGATGGGCACCAATTGGACCAATAGGAGGCCTCTTAAACCTCCGATAACTCCTCTCAATAATACGCAGGAGGTTCATCACTCTATCTCCTCCAAAAGCTGTAACCTGTTCACAGCAATATTGTAATAGCCATCACTGGCTCATTCAACATTACAATTAAAAAGAAATGAAGCTCATATCTGCACTTTTTTAATCTATTGCCCCAATAACAAAACTGCATAAATATTAATTTAAATATGCATATTGCTCTCAAGAAGTACTCCATTTGAATAACATCCATAACAGCAACGTTGCTTATACCTTATTGGTTTGGTGTTGTTTAAGCTCACGGATGGAAAAGGTGATATCACGATACCGTCTTTCATGTCCTTCAATCTAATTGAAAATACATAATACAGATAAGAGAACTTATATAAGTATCTAAATATATACAAGATTTAGCCTGGAAACAGTTATCCAAAAAGTCAATGAACATTATATAAGATTTAGCATGGAAACAGTTATCCAAAAAGTCAATGAACATTTTAAGTATCCAGTAAATTAGGAGGGAGCAATTTCTTGAGAGAGAAAATAGATTACTTGTAGTTTAGTGAGAGAAACAAGACAAAAGGAACAAGTATTCTGTTCAATTTTTTTTTTTTTTGTATGAGATTCTATTCAATGTCAATGATAACTACATGGGAAAAGAGAGATTAGCGCCACAAACCAGTCCATCATCTTTTACACATAAACAGCATGTCAACACATGAGGCCAAAAAGGAAAAGAAAATTCACATAATAAAGAGAAATAAAGGAGAGGACACTGTGTCAACCCAGACTTGGGGATGTAGCCAGTGATGCTCCTTTAAGGATGCCAATCACAGCACAAGACATCATTAGCTCTGGTCACGTCATTGATGATGTGATCACGACCAGCAAAAGTGAAACCCTAGTTGTTGCAGTGGCTGTGGTGCTAGGGTTATAGAGAATGATAATAATCAACAATAGTTGTAGAAGCAATGAAATGATACAAGGGGAAAATAGGATTAATCATTCTTTTAAAAAAACAACAGAAATAAAGAAAGGCAGAAAAGGCACACATGAAGTTTTCTTTTTCTTCTACATGTGTTAAACAAAATGCCCTGAGACATTGTACAAAGAAAACAGCAACAACAAGCTGCCCTCCCAACTGCTAAACTTCTATTTTTCTTTTCATTTATTTTATGGGACAGAAGAAAAAAAAAATATCAAGAACAGCACAAAATAAGGAAATGAGGCATCCTTCAAAAGGAAACGGAAAACCAAAAGCATAATGTAACAAGAGGTACTTTAAATCAAATATGCAGCAAAGCACATAAGCTCAAAGAAAATCCAAGATAGCCCAATCACTTGTTAAAACCATGAGCAGAAAGCCAAGCAGTCAGCGTGAAGATTATCCATCTTGTGGACTTTGAAATTGATAAACAAAAAATGTTCCAACATTTGCAGGAAAAACCCATCGTTTTACTAAAATCTCCACCAATGCTATTTGAAATCTATTATCATCTTCACTAGACATAAAGAAAGCATGCAGCCTCTTCTGAATTCAACAACACATCACAAGCAGGGACAGAACCAGCAACAAAAAAGTTAGGGTGGCCAAAGACAAAACCTTTTTTGTTTTGGCCAGCGACCAAAGACTAAAATTGTAATTATAATTATTCACAATTATTAAAAGATTATCTTAAATATTTATAGGATATATAAAATTTACTGAAATTTAAAAACTAACATACTTTATAATTATAAAGCATATTTTATTATTGTCTTGATATAAAAAATATATGCCGGGGGTCTTAAAATATTATTAAGTATTACAACCATCAAATTCATTGGTTATTAATTAGATAGAAATCGTTTATAATTTTTATAATAAATTTTTTCAATCTCTTTTAATAAAGGCAAAAAAATCTGCACTAACAAAAAATTATTTTATTTACTTTCAATAGATTTTATGAGAGTGAGAATAAGAGTAGAGAGTATGCTATTAGTATTGAAGTTTGTTTCTAAATTTATGTATTTCAAAGCAAAAGAAAAGGCCTTTAAAATATTACTCCCTCCGTTCTTTATTATAAGAGACACTTGATGCTTATGCCATGTTCCTATATATAAGAGACACTTACAAGTTGTCTCTACTTTTTTGTGTTGATTTACTATTTTACCCATATTTATTATCTCCAACTCACACTCTCTCTCCCTCCCACTTCTCTTTCTTTTAATAATTTAATTGTTCTCTCTCATGCTCTCTCTCCTTATTAATGAGGGCATTTTTGGAAAAAAATTATACTTTTTATATATTAATTGTTCTTAACTAACTTTAACTGTTTTTTTGATCAACGTACTTCGGTTATTTGTCTCTTATAATAAGGAACGGAGGGAGTAATAAGAATAGAAGAAAAGTTTAGGAAAAATTTAAAATTTTAAGAGAAAAAGATATGCATATATTATATATAAAATGGTATTGAATTCCTTTTTGTGGGGGAAGAAGAATATAATTGTTGCAGCACACATTCACATACACTTGCATTTCTTAGAAAGAGCTTTGAAATTCAAGAGATATCCAATAAGTTAATATTTGTACACTGACATAATGGAAACAGGGCTCAAAAATAAACACAACAAACTACAATCAGAAGTGGAAACCATTCTGTACAAATTAGAAGATTAATTAATAGAACCAAGCAAAAGAAAAGGAGCTTTCAATTCAAAGGTTCAGAAACGCAAAGAAATGGAAATGAATCTCCACAATAACAGTAGAAAACAATATAAAAAGAAAATGGCGCAAATCTTCACACCTCATCAGCAATCTTTCTTATTTCATTACTTTGACTCTGCACATTATCAGCTAGTATAGCTTCCTCTTCCCTCAACCTGAATCACAAAGTGAGTTCTAAGAAATAAAACTCATCAAAATCAACAGGAAATACAAACTAGACATTACATGATAAATTATTAACCTTGTCAGAGCTGATTCAGCAGCATCAACCTCATTTTGGAGCACCTTCAGTATCTCCTCTATCTCAGATTCTTCAGCCTGCACCATGATATAAAAAGAAAGGAACTAATGCCTGTTGAACAAGAGAGTTAGCGACACTGCTATTATATGCACACCACTAAAACATAAAGCAATGTGTTGACAGTAGTAAAAAACTTGGGGTTTTGTATGTTAAGAGAAACAGTTATAACTAGTGTATAAGAAGCACCAAAAATTTAGGAAAACTTGTAGTCAAGCGAATAATTACTTACAGAAAACTCAAAGTAAAAGATATACAGTAAGAAACCTAAACAAACATAGGGAAACAACAATGAAAAGCCGTGCTAGTAAGGATTCGCATGCAGCTCCATAAATGCCATTGAAATTACTTGTGACTACCTAATGTGAGACTTGTGAGAATAACTTAAAAATTCTATTTGCAAGTATTTTTCTGATGATATAGCTTTTATTAGCATTTATTAGCCTTTATTCTTTTGTCTTTTCTCCTTTCTGTATATGTTTGGATGTATCTTATTTTTTAGATCAATGTGAAATACAGATTTCACAATATTACACAAAGCACCCGAGCCAAACTTCCTCAAAGAAGTTAACATCCTCAATGACTGCACTTTACATCACTCACTCTGACCACTGGGTCACACTCTATAGGCAGTGCTTTTCATGGTCAATCTAGCTCAGATGTCAATTAATTTTGATGCGGACCTAAGCAAACAAGGGGAACCCACCCTTAAAGACGAGTTTGTAAGGTGGGAAGAATTATGCCATTTAAGAACCACAAGAATGACATGTGCCTATCCCTTGTGCGACCCCACCAGTATACACGTGTTTGCGTGGTTATAATTGTAATCATGTAAGAATTTTAAGGGTATTAAATTCTGTTTTGGTGATGCATAAATGAATGAAGAAAGAAATTCAATCTGAGACAAATATTGAGTTGGGGAGAAAAGGAAAGAGATTTTGACTTTTTCTTTCATTTGAACATTAGCATTGTCATGATACGTAACAAGCATGGAGGTGAGTATTAGTGGAGATGGACGATAGGCCATTTGTTTTCCATAAGATTCAGGCCTCAAATCCATGAGTGGCACTGCGAAAGGACTTGTTTTCTTAACTTCTATTTTTGAATTGCCCAAATTAATTTTTGTTCCCCCCCCCCCAAATATACCTTTTATTCCCACGAAAAAAAGAGATCAACAGATTCTATAAGCAAAAACGCGCCTTGACTAATTCAGATTCAGCCGAGTAAAGCCACAAACTAAAAAGCTCTCTCAAAAACGCATTCCATCCGCAAGACTCAATCAAGACTTTTGCTTAGAAGGAACAATTGTCAAACAACTTGAATCAACTATTCGATGATTATATTTGCCATTTATAAAAATAAAAACTCGTACTGATACATTATCCTGAGATCATGAGCTTTCTCTTACGAAGTATAATAAACTTCCATTCATTTAAAAAAAAAAAAAAATCAATCATCTGAATTAACATAACCATCTCTACATAAATAAAATACTGATTTGACAGGAAAAACAAATATCTGCACGCTGGTCAAAAGTCCCAAAGACAAGCTAGCATGTAATAACCCAAAATACACACACACACACACGTATATCTGCCCACTAACACCTTTCAAAGAAAAAAAACAGAGAGGATAATCATAATAACAAGGAAACGAACAGCAGCATGAAAATGGAGTAAATGATGGGATCAGAGAAAACAGGAAAATAAAGAGAAGCTATAATATATAACCTGAGTACTTTGTGCATGCTTCTCGTAAATATCCTGCACCTGTTCTTTAAGAGTCCTAACACGCTTTACCATCTTCTCAATACTGACAGTTACGCGTGTGCACTCTTGTTCTTTTTCAAGTACTTCTTTTGCAGCCTTCAGTTAAAAAAAAAAAAAAGCAATAAACAAATCAATAATTCTAGGTAATGCAAATAAAAAGCATGACATTGACTGGGAAACCCAAGAAAAAAATCGCATTAAGGGAAAACTCATGCATCACCCGGTGTAATGAAAAGTCACAAAGATAAGCATAAAATGGAGAGTATGTAAAAAAAAAAAAATTAAAAAAAAAAAGATAAAAGCACATACATTTGTTTGGCTGTGAAATCAGCCAGAAATGTTGATCACAGGCTATGATACATATTCGTTCAATAACCAGAAATAATATAAATGTGTAAGCAAAAAGCCTGTCTCAATAAGCTGAGAAATCAAGACATGAATTAGCTGTTCTCGGCAAACCACATTGTGAATGCTCAATGACACTCAATGGTAATGCTTTCCAATTGATATAGTCTTTCGTTTTCCTCAAACAAACATGACGAATTTTTGTGGCCGCTAGAGATATTTTCCTCCATCAAGACAATTCCCAATGATCATACATAATATCTTATTAGCCCCCTATGCAGATGGCACATCGTTTCCTTGATTTTGTGGCATAGTAGTAACACCATGAGAGCTGAAGTCAGTAAACTTAATCATGGCTCTAATATTATTGAGTCAGCCAAAAACATTGATTACAGGTTATATTTATTCATTCAGGTGACTAGAAAATACATAGATGAGAGAGGCAACATTTTATGACTAAAATCACATCTAATCTGGCTAGACCATAATCGAATCTGAAGTCCAGGAGGGAAAAAAAAAACAAATAAAAAAAATCCTAAATGATAAAACAAGTAACGCACAAGTTAACAAAGTAAAACAAATAAGACAAGTGAAATCTCAAATGTTAAAGAGTTTCAACAGACTGACTCTAGTGAAAAAAAGGATAAAAATAATTTATGCAAATGAAATCATTAAAAAATTAATCAGCTCGTTTAAGCCTACCAAAACCAGGGGGGGAAAAAATGTGTACTTGGCAAGTAAAAACATTAAGCCCACATAGAAGCAGATATGTCTAGTTTCAATTCTATCATATTAGACTCATTGCAGGATGAAATTTTCATCTTCCTGTTATTCATGTGTTGTGAAAAGGTGGAACAGTACAACCTCAAACTCTACCATACCATAGATATAGATTGTTGTAAATTTTGCTTCTTCTGCTTCACTTCAGATGTCTTTTCAAACAAGTTTTTGATATGACCTTTCTTCTTATGTAAGAATGCACTCAATTCTTCGACCAGATTCTGCAGAATAAAGAGTCCTTAGAATATCAAAGTAAACACGTGATACACATATGTAACACAGTTGAGAAGCAAAAAGAAAAAGATAGAGAGCATCAAATATCCAGCATAGTAGAACCTTTTATAAGGTCAAGTGTTTCATTTGGAATCTGTACATCAACTCATTTCGTGCAATAACAATATATCATTGCAAACTCAGACCTCATAAAGTTAACCTAAATCTGGGTTGTGAAAAAGGTATGCAATTGAGATTTAAATTTTTAGGATGCCACCACCCCAAATTTACAGAATAATCTGTTTGGATTTGAATGCTTAGTGAATACTTGGTGTTCTTGCACATTGCCGCAATTCTTCATTATAAATTTCTGAGTTTGGGAGGAAAACAGGTTAAGTGCCCATTTGGATTAGCCGTGCAGAAATGATTTTGCGTTGTACAAGGTAAAAAGTGTGAAGAGTTGTCTCCTAAAGCGCAAAAGTGATTTTTGGAAGTGAAACCAAACTACTATGGTGTCTAGTTTTGCTATTCTCTATTGCATCTAATGAGAGTAGAATGCAAGCATTTTAGAAGAGGTTCTGCCCATACACATATTATGGAATAAAATTTTTAAAAAAGAAAAAAAGAATCTTTCATTTTCCATTTCAGAAGATATTTCATATCCCTCACTATGATGTTCCTTTCTCCTACTACTTAAATTTTGTACTAAAATCTGGAAGTACTTTGGGGCTGTAAAAGTAGGGATGGTGAAGATGATTCCGTCCATTCTTGGTGAAAGAAATTTTCTTAGCTACCAATTTGCGCCGTATCTAAGTCTTTATGGTGCAATAAGACTAAAATGATGTCAGGTAAGGAAAGCTTACCATTTGCTCATCAATCTTTGCTTGGCACTTAGGTATTCGATCCTTTAATTTATCAATCTTTGAACACTGTTCCTGGATTTGTTTGTCCACATCATAAACCCATGACCATGCAAGTTTTTTCTTTAACTGCTGAATCTGCAGTGATATTTGTTCAACTTGTTCCATGTTTGTAATTTTGACTCTTAACTCATTAAGCTCCTTCTCTACAGGACTTATTGTAGCCTCTAATCCTCCAAGAAGTCCAAATGAATGCTCTAATCCCTTAGAAACGCTTTCCAAAAGATCATCGACTTGCTGAAGAAGTGTAGCCTTGTAAAAGAACTGTTTTAAGAGTTCATTTCAGTATCAGTAGAGCACCTTAACAAACTTTACCAGAAGAATACATGCAAACATCACCTTAAATTTATCCTTGTCATTCCCTGAATGTAAAAATTCCCTGCTTTTGTCCTGACTCATAACTACACATGGATTCTCCACATCAATCTGCAAAAAATAAAATTAAAAAAAATAAGAATGAACAAATACATTAAGCATAAGAACACAACTCCAAGAAAATAAAATCCACTAAAAAAAACAATAAAATGCATAGTTGAAACCTTTCATCGTTGATCAACAGAACATGCAGAAATCATAACTTCCATAAGACAAATACCACAAAGATTCTCACTCGGTAAATCCAATAAATGAAAATTATTATCTATTAATGACATAAACCATTGATAACATAAAACATAGAAAAATTTGTTCCTAAGGAAGATAACAGTTAAAAATGCCATCAAGGCCACCCATGATTTCAAAAGCAAACTAAATAATGCTCAAGCATCCTAAAGGTGTCATAATTCAGCGGTCAAATTGTTTTGAAATACATATATACTTAGCAGAGGAAAAACCATGGAACAAAAGTGAGTCCAGAAAAGAATTGAAGATTTATAACAGGAAGAAAAGAATGGTTGGCAGCCTGATGCCATGCCTGCTCAATGATTGAGAACAGAAGAGAAAAATAACATGGCCTAATGACATGTCAGGGGAATATGGGCTCGTCCAAGGGAGGGTATAGGGAAGGAAATCATGTGATGAGCATTCTGGCGATTCAAAAACCTGAGCCTCAGCTGCAAGACACCACCATTAAGAGATACTCTCTCTGTTCAAAACTATAAGACATTTTTTCTGAAGTATCAGGTTCAAAAATATGAGGTATTCTTGGTCTTTCAAGGCATAATTAATAAAGTTTTTCTCAAAAACCCTGAATTCCGGTTTAATTAATAAGGTTTTTCTAACTGAGATGTCCTATTAAATAAGGGGTAACCGTGGGAAGAATGTGGAATTTTAAAGGCTATAAACTAACTTATTGGGGGTGTAAATTAGTTAAATTGGGCAGTGTTTACTACCTCATTTTGGGATTTAATAGGGCAAAAAAGTGAAGGAACCAAAAACATAACTTCAGGAGCTCTTTATCTACAACATGCAAAAAGAATTGGCAAGCATAGCATATTTTGAACCGCTGGTGCTCTTTCTTGTGTGTTTTAGAGGATATTCTACGTTTGCTAGCACGTCTCTTCTTTTTCCCCTAACAAAGTTGTTGACCAAAACAGTGACTGCATTAGAGGATGAGAGAACCCTACATTAAAATGCTCAACCATTTCCTGGAGTTCTGCTTTCCGGCTGACAACCTTCTTTCCTGTTAACATAGAACAAATATACAATTACGAGAACTGAAATAAATGGAAAATTAAATCAGTGACTGGTTCATAAACAATGAAAAAAAAATGACGTCACAAGTTTTGTTTATTTTTAAAGAGAGAATGCTCAAAACTGAGAGAATGCTAAAAAATTTTGCATTGGAATAGGCAGCAAAGATTATCAAAAATTCCAAATATTCAAATTAAGCAGGCTCAGGATTTTAGGGGGGAACATGGGTCACTAGGGCAATTTCTACAGTAAAAGCAGTAGGTCTTTTAGCAATTCTATTTCTCCTTGGTCAGCTAATAGGCTTGCAATTATTATAAGTGAAATAATAAGGTGTCACTCCACCTTGTGCAAAAACTAACAAAAGAAACACCCGTAGAAAATAATGCAGAACAGACTGATAACTTTGACACAATAGGGCATTTTAGTAGGCAGAAAGTCTTTCGTTACAAAACATTTCAATCCTATCTCTAAGGTACTTTCATTATAGACTCAGATTCTCAGTTCAATCTCTATCCTCTTCTTAGGCTACTAACAGAACTCATATGCTTACTTTCGTTTCTCCCATCTTATTGCCAAACAATTAAGATAACAAACAAGCGACCCTAAAAGAACCCAAATTCTTTTTCACGCAATTTTACTAAAAATTAACTCCTGCTATAATACCTTTTATAAGCAGGATAACTTTTTTCAAATCGTTTATCTCTTCCGATAATATTTTATATTTGTTTAGCCTCTACCATTTTTTCTCTCATCACAAAATATATCTCATCTAAAGTTAAAGCCCATACTTGTTCAGCATTTGCCAATAGAAAAATTAATATTACTAGGACTAATGACTTGTGATTCATACCAATGCCATACAAGTGCTTTCTTTTGCAATACGTGTTGTTGATTTTGATTCTCAAGATTCCAATAGTCATTTAGTTTTGCATTGTTCAAATTATTGAAATTGTAACCAAGTCAAATCCAAACATATGTAAACACATAATGCAAGGTGCCTAATCTAACCACCACCTTAACCCCAAAGGTGATAACCAGTGGAAAACACCAATGCTTTGGAATCTTCCTTCAACTTCAAATCTAAAAGTTAATCATGAAGCAACATAATATAGCAAAGTGCTAAAAACTGAGGAACTAGCACCAAGACTTCAACAGTATGTTAAGGGTAGCCCCATAAAAATAGTCGTATTGCAAACATATTTACCCTAGTCAAATAACTCGACATTTAAGAACATTAGAATTACAAACAAACCTCTACAGTCTTTTAACACGATGGAGCTTGTGGATTCAGATATCCTGCGTTCTAAAGTGATCACATCACCATATATTTGTGGCTTAAAAGCATCCTCTCCTTCATTTTTTATTTCCACATGGATGAGGGCATTACTGGCAAGAGGCAACAGCAAACTGTTGTTAGAACCCAAAGAAATCAACCATGCAGTTTTATATGAGCTAAGGAACAAATCTGGGGTGATGACAATAAAAAGCATAACATACAACTGAAGGTAATGTAATTTTCCGAGTTTGATAAGCAAAACATCATATATATGATGTTTCAATCAAATGTGCGACAAATACTTATAATCCAATATGTTTTTGCAGACTTTTCTATATGTCATTTTACTAACATTTTAAACAGACCATTTCCCACAAAATTAACTTCAAAGACACGGAAACGCTTTCCTACTGAAAGGTGAATAACCCTTGCATCAGTGATGTATAGGTTCAATACTTCAATAACGAAATTCACATTAATAGCAGAATGTCTCAAGTTCAATGCTCCCATAGGATAAGCACTGTAAAGACAACCTTTCTTCTTGAGGAAAGACAATGAGGAAGGTGTAGAGCTTGACAGAAGCTTATGGACAGTTCTACATTAGAATTGTCAGATGAATAAAGAAACCTCCCACAAATCACAGCCACCTATCATCCCACCCCCACCCCAACTTTCCCCCTTCATACCTCGTTAAAAACTTAAAAGAATAATAAGTGCATAAAGACCTGCAGCCTGTTTTTATAAAATCCTTCAGAGTCGCTGCTCTCTGAGTCCCTCTTGCTCGACATCCAAATGCAACACACAATGCAGTTAGGATTGCGCTCTTACCACCTGTAATTGTAAATAACCAAACGAAAGGAGACGGATTCATCAGACATCAATTCTGCCCCTTTCTGCTTTCCTCTTGGCGACAAAGAATTGTTATATCCAATGAAAAAACAAACGAACAAGAAATAAAGAAACGAGAAACTCTCCGAACCAAGAACAAACCATTTTGTCAAACTATCTCGGGAAAAAAAAAAACAACGACATTTTTCACAGAAAAAACGACACTTCCCCTCAACTCAATTCATCAGTCATCCAAAGAAAACAGTACAACCCCAAAAAAATTAATAGAACAAACGTTCAGCCAAAGAAAATCTCAAACCCAAATTGGGACAGCACGGGGAGGGAGGGAGGGACTAACTTCCATTTTGACCAGTAACGAAATTGACCCACTCTCCGAGCTCAATCTCGAGGTTGCTATGGCACATGAAGTTCTCCAATCGAACCCTCTTGATGATGCCAGCGGTTGGGTGGTGAAAGTGAGGGCTTTGCCCAAAAGGAACCCATGAATCAGTCATGGCCTATCGATGTTGCCAGAAACCCTACCGAAAGATCCCTGCTGGGTTACTCCCTTCCGTGAGAAAGTAGAAACGGAATGGCGTTAAGGCGATGTACGAAGCTGATAAATGGCGGGAAAAGCGATTTTACAATTGTGCCACGGACCGGGCAATCCCATAGAAAATTTGACTGAAGTCAAGGGAGAGAAGGCAGAAGGAGCGAACATGATGGGCAATTTGACTTCATTTCAGTCCGTACCCACGTTGGAAATGGAATGTACCATTTATAAAGACAATTTTAATAAATTACATATTATAATTATAACTTACAAATATAAATTATAAACGTAAATGTAGTCAATTTTATCTTGGATTCGGATTTTGGTTCAAGTGGATCCAAATTCGGGTCAGTTTGGAACCTCTCCACTTTTCTTCTCATTCTCTTTTCTTTTCTTTATTTTTTTAACCATTAGATTAATATTTTAACGGTTCATATTTAAATCTTTTTAAACTTATTATTAAAATATTAAATTATAAAAATAAATAAATAATAAATTACAAACTATATTAAAATTTAATTCTTTTTTTATGAAACATTAAGGTATCCACCAGCAGATTCAGTGACTAACCCCTTCGCTGGCTTGTGAGTACTAATCCCTTGCTTGGATTGAAAGAAAATTAAGAATGAGAGAAAACAAGAAAAGAAAACATGAGAAGAAACAACTTTTCTCTTGCTTGGATAGGAGAGAAAATGTGGGAGGAAGGAAAAGTAGGGGAGAAAATAAGGTGGATCCCATACCTCATTTTCTTTCCATATTTGAGAAGGAAAACAAGATTTTCAAAACTACCCCTACTATCTCTTATTCTCCATATTTTTTTTCTTTTATTATATTTAAAAATTTATTCATTTTTTATTTTTTATCTTAAAACAATATTTTTATTAAATAATTTGGCTTTAAAATATAATAATCTGAAAATACATATCAACCAAATAACTTGATTTTAATTATTTGATGATGCCAATGTTAGTATAATTTTTCTATTGCAACATTTAATTTAATTTAATTTTAAATATGATATATTTTGATAAGGACATTTTAGTCATTTGGATATTTATTAATTTTCTTTCCTCTCTATTTTTTCTCATCTATCTAAGCAAGAGGGATGATAATATTTTCCTTCTCTCCATTTTCTCTCCTCCCATTTTCTTTCCTCCCAACTTTTCTTTCCATCCAAGCAAAAACATAAATGTTTTTAAAAAAATTTTATAAATAGTTTATAAAAAGTTAAAATCTAAACTGTTGAAATATATTAATCTAATAGTTAAAAAAAAAAAGGAGGAAAAAGGATGGAAAGGAAAGAAGAGAGGTTCCGACCTGAATTGGGATGCCTTGTTGTACTGTTTCCCCAATAATTGTTGCTGTTTTTCTTCTCTTTGTGAAGGCATTGAATTGTTTCTAGTTCACTTTTCCAGAGCGAGGAGTTCATCAGTTCCTCAACCTTGCACGTCTGGCATGCTCAAGGGTCTCTTGTTCCCAAACGTGGAGCTACGTGCTTCTTTTGTGTTTCTGACACGATGCGTTCGTGTGTTCAGCAGTTTCAAGTGTTTGTTTGTTTCTTTCTTTTTGCAGTGATGGGCCAGCCTTTTCATTGGGTTCTTTCATTCTCCGAGCTTTGTTCACATGGATCATATTCATATGTGATTGGTCAACTTTTCTTAGCATACTCGTTTTATTGGTATTTGAATAAAATTGAGTTTTGATAAAAGTATATATATATATATTGGTAGAAATTATTTAAGTGTGAAAAAATATTTATACTAAAACATTCAATTTAAAATAATGACAAAAAAATTTATACTAAAATATTCAATTTAAAGTAATTATAAAAATTAATAAATTTTTATAATTTATGAATTATAAATTATTAAAAACTAAAGTATACTTTTAGCTTAACTTTAAAAAGTACTCCCTCTAATCCTTTTTATAAGAACATTTTAACTAGACTTTAACTGTTTTCTTAGGGAGTGTTTGGATTTGCCTTTAGAAAATAGCTTCTTAAAAATAATAAAAAATTAGTTTGAGAATAGATTTTAGAAAAATAAATAATGTGAAAAGAACTTATATTGATAAATTGAAAATGTTTGGATGGTTGTAATGAGAATCACTTTTTCATTTTTAAATTACAAAAAAGAACATAAATATGTCTGACATTTCTATAAGAGAAATGTACCAGTTGGCATTGGTAACTAGTTGTTTGGCTACTTTGTTCTAAAATCATTATTTTCGCTTTTAAACCATGGTTTTAATTTCAACCCAGAATACTTTCTAAGAAAACCATAAAAATTAGTCATAAAAATTAGTTTGAAACAATAAGTATATTGAACATTTTTAAAGTATGTCTCAATATAATAAGAGAGTAATTAGGAGAAAATCAGCTCCAAAAAAAAGTAATTAGGAGAAAAAAAATAGTGATAATAATCAAGAAAGATAAGCGTCATCCAAATTGCAGTTTTTCACCAAATCTTTATGCCAAGTTGTTCAAAGCATTAGAATGCTCACGAGCTTCTAGGGAGCCATACAACCAATTATAGCGTGACACCCGAACATGAAATATCCCAACATACGTATTTAAAAAGATTCTTCCATTTACTCAAAAAAAAAAAAAAGATTCTTCCATTGAGCTCTTTTACTCTTTTAGCATGAATGTGACCCATACTTCATGCTCAAGGCTCCATCTCACCCATTCCCCTCCTTGCAATGAAAAGAAGGAAGTCTGCATCGTATGAGGCACCACAGATTAACAATGTTGGAACAGTCTCTGATAAGCACTGTCTTTCATCGTGCCTGTTTGGATCATGGTGAAAATTCTCTATAAATATATTTCATGTAAGCCGAAATAAAATTCCTCTCATATACTCGTCTCTTATTTCATAAATCACTATTAAAAAGTTACTTATAAAATACTTATAAGTTGTTCTAAACAGGTTCAATTATTGTCACAATCCAAGGAATTGGTTGCTGACCCTACTTTTCTGTACATTCTCAATCAATTGTTAGGTAATACTTCATGTTTTTAACATGAGAGTTAGTTGGAGGATGAATTTAATCCTAAATATAAGATCTTAATTTAATCTACTTTGTTCTCCTCAAAAGTATAATGCATTCTCTAAAGTATTTCTATTGGTTATACATGTCAAGGGATTTTGATATTTTTTATAAATAACTAACTAAATTTCTTAATATATTCAAATTAGTTAAATAGCTTTCATACTAGGAATCGGATGTAGTAAATTTCAATTTCTTTAAAAAAAATTAAGAAATGCCTACTATTTTGCCATGATATGACCTTTTTTTTCATTTAATTATTCATTAGCAAAAAAAAAAAAAACTATTCAGTGCACTACCAACAAGTTATTGGTTAATACGGTAAGCAGTCTCACCCCGTAACAAAAAGAACGCAAGTTTGAACATCAAAAAATGCACTTGTTGGGAGAGATGAAAACCTTTCTCAAAAGAAAAAACCATTAATCAAATAAAAAACTATACGGTGCATATCTTAAAAAGAAAAAAAGAAAAATTAATTCAGGTTTACTTCAATTTTGAATAAGTCGTTACTTAAACCAAATCTTTATTATTTGATATGATAATTTTGATTTAAGCTTTTATGAAATTTCATTTATAAATATGCACGAATATTAAAAGTGTTGAATGAAATGAAATAAATTTCATGAGGTCTTTTTGTCGCGTCAAATTAATAGAAGATACATCCCATCCATCGTACGTAAGTTAATAATATTATAAAAATTCTCTAGAGCAGCTACATATGATCCCCTGAAATTTTAAAATTATAAATTTAATATCTAAAATTCAGGAGATTTTTATAAATTTAATATTATAAAAATTAACATCTTTTTTTTAAAAAATATTTTCAGTTATTTTTAATTTTAATTTATTTTTATTTTCAAGTTCATAATATTAAATAAAATTATGTTTAAGTGTAAAATAATACACTTTTAAAATAATAAATTATTTATTATCAAATTAATAAAGCTATGAAAGTAAAATAAAAAACTTGTAAAAAAAATGAAAAACAAGCCAACATGTGGGTTGTTGGGTTGGCTCGGAGCAAAACATTGAAACAACTTGACGTTTTGCCAACTCATCAAGCATATCCTAGCCCATGAGG